CCCGTCTCTACCAAAAATAGAAAGAAATTAATTGGACAGCTAAAAATATATAGAAAAAATTAGCCGGGCATGGTGGCGCATGCCTGTAGTCCTAGCTACTCGGGAGGCTGAGGCAGGAGGATCGCTTGAGCCCAGGAGTCTGAGGTTGCTGTGAGCTAGGATGACGCCACGGCACTCACTCTAGCCCGGGCAACAAAGTGAGATTCTGCCTCAAAAAAACAAAACAAAACAAAACAAAAAACCGCACCTCTGTCCTGCATTGGCTGTGCGCACACATGCGCGAATTGCACGCTCGCTTGTTCCGGGCTCTGTCTTCTTTTCCAGGCACTCCCTCCCTTCCCCCCCTCCCCACCTGTTTTGCAGTCAGGCCTGAGCCTAAGACCAGCAGATCTACTTACAGGGCTTTGTGGCACGCACTACCGCAAAGGCCGCTTCTCACCTCTGTTCTTTATTCCCCCTCTAAATAATTTTTTGGGGCAATTTCAGACGTTTATTCTTCCCTCTTTTCATTCTTAGGTCCCCAGACAGAAGGAAGGGAAACCTCTCCTGACTCTTAGACTGGGCTCCGGGTTTTCCTTTGTGCTCCGACTAGAATTGTCATTAGACACTGGTTATGGGGTCCCTCCCCCCTGCCACACTCACCCCATGCTGTGTCCAGGCAGTGACAGTGCCTGGCATGTGGCTGGTGCTCACTAGGTATTGGCTGAGTGAATGAACAAGTGAATGATGCAGATCTTTTAAAAAAAACATTGATTTCATTTCTTGTGTTGTTTTGAGTATAGGGCAGTCAGAGGTTGGTTTAGCCTTTGTCATCGCCGAGGTGTGGCCTTGGGCAGTTGCTTCTCTCCTCTGCCTCAGCTTTCTTACTTGTAAAACTGAACCCGGTGAGCTCTGAGTCTTTACACCAATGCAGTCATAAAATTCAATTTTAAATATTTTTTTAATTCAGGAAGGTGCCCACAAAGGCAAATTGCAAGGGTCCGTGAATGTCAAAATGTGGCCCCGTGAAACACAACCCAAATCAGTGACGTAAATAACTGGGATTAGGAGCATAATAGGCCCAGGCAGAGTGGAAACGTGGGAAGGATAAAACAGCCACTTGTCCAGGGATTGCCAGAAATAAGGATGCACAGACTGAAGATGGGTGCAGGAGACTGCCTATCCTCTGGCATGTTCCCGAGGAAACCCGGTTCTGAGTTGGCACCATGGAGCAGAAGAGTACAATGGCCAGAGAGACCTGGGTTCCAGGCCTGGCAGTGCCTCCTGCTACCTGCGTGACTGCAGGCTAGTCACTTAGCCTCTGGGAGCCTCACTTCCTCATCTGGGAAACAGTAGCCATAACACCCCATTCATAGGACAGTCATCCAACATGTGTTTATGAAGCACCTGCTGTATTCCAGGCACTGTTCTAGGTGCTGAAGACACAGGACGGTGCACACCCAGTCCAGGGCCTTGCACACAGTAGGTCTAATTAAACATTTGTTGAATGAATGATTGGAAAACAGGTCGGAGGGAGGGAGTACCAACCACAAATGAGCAAATACATATTATGTGTGTGTGCATATGCATGTAATGATAAACGTGAGCATGTATCAAATGTGAACCGTAATTACAAAGGAAGTGAGGTACCAGGACTGAAAAGAACAGTCACAGTGACAGAGAAGATGATGGGGCGTGGGGAGCAGGACAGCAGAG